GAAGAATGTATGTACAAAATTTTGTGTTGATATCAATGTATTTGAGGGAGTTGTGAAATATTGGATCAATTGTTATGATTTTGAACATATTTGATCCCTGCCAGAAAAAAATAAAGTGTGGCAAAATTCATCGAAATATCTTTGGTGATTTCTGAGAAAAGTACTTAAGAATTAGGGAAAAAACATAATTTTTTTCGAGGTAGTCTGAAATTTTTAGTCATGACTTTTTACGTCGTGAAGCGATTTTGCTGATTTTCAATACCAAACTGCTTAGGGTAATAGCAAATATTTCTGGCAAATTTGGTTGAGGACCCAGAATTTGATAAGGACCCAGAATATATATACTTTGTTGGGTCTCAGATAAATATTTCTTGGTGTTACACACGGAATGACAAAGTTATATATACCCTCTATCACAACTGATAGTGGTGGAGGGTATAAAAATAGGTTTCATAATACATGAAAATTGTTCAATACAGTTTGACAACAAATTCGATTTTGTATTAAAGATAACCCCCTTTAGAGTTTATAAAAAACGACTTTTGGAGAAACTGGTTTGTCGGTTAACCAAAAATTGGCTATTTCTAAAAAACCGGTATGTCGGTTAACCGAGTATGAAAAAACCGTTATGTATACCCTACACCAAAACATTTTAAATCAACTCATTCATGCGCCAATGTGAAAATAATATTAAGTTAGATTAACATCAATTAAACTGATTTAGTTCATATTTATCTGGTACATGCATCCTAGAGATCATTACATAAATCGGAAGTGTTATTTAGGATAATACAAAATATAGTTATATTGATTTTTGTAGAAATACTAGAATAGTTAACATATTATGAGCCTCAAAGTGCTACTCTGATAGATTTCAACCATAATAAGCTTCGTCCTTTTGATAAAAAATAAAATGTGCAAAAATTTCATGAAATCATGTAGAAAATTGCTCGAGAAATTTAAACCTATCTAAATCGAAACTGACAAGAAATATTTATGCATAGTAATGTAATTTCTGGAACAAAGCAACATCAACCTACTTTGTTGAATGCTTTCAAGCAACTAAATAACATTTTTGTATTTTTTACGCTCTTGTTAAGAGCGAAAATCTTCATAAACATCAGCGTTGCCACTGACCAAGTTTTAATCCTACCAAATTTTTGTCAAAAAACTACCAAAATCGTTTAAAACCTACCAAATTTCAAAAATCATATAAAACTTTTTTTTTTTTTTTGAGAAAAGTATGACTTATTTATTAATGTATTTTGTCGCCTATGTATACACGGTTATTAGATCTAACAATATCGGCAGTCTATTGTCCATCTCAATTTACAATTGTTAGCATTTTCTGAACATTTTTCACCCAGCTTTGTAAGATCTGACAACCATGTATCACAGCTTTAACAACACTTTTCGCAGTTTTATGATACATTTATTTCTTGAGATTCTTTTTTAATTTATGTAGGGAAACGTTCTTGAAGATATGAATTTTGTAAAACCCAAACGACTTAGCAACAAAAAAGTTTTATATCTTGTACCTAATTTCATGGATTGAAATTATTCGACTAAATTTGCTATATATAATGGTTAAAATCGATCCAATGCAAATCGGAAAACTGCTGAAAATAATTTTAAAGTTCAAAAATTCGTTGGTTATATGAATAGCAATTGTAAACAAATTTACCCCCGTTTGAAGTACCCATAATCATATAATATTAACCCTTTATGACCGGGCAATAATTTTTCGTTGATTTCGTCATTTATTTTGGTATTAATTTCGTATCTAGGCACCTTAAATAACTAATAGCTATTTTCAAAAAAATTATCCTCTTCCCGCAAGAGCAAATTTGGATTTTTTACTTATGTTTATTAAATTTACAACAATATTCAAATGAAATTACATATTTTAAGTGAATGTTGTGTAATATTTGTAAAAAAATTAAAAATATTCCTCAATTTGCGAATTTAAAATTTTTCTTCATATTAAAAACAAAACATGGTGTAGTGCCTGGCGTTGCCATGTGGCAACACATGAATACAGACTAAAAATCATCTTTATTAAAAAAGCCTATCTAAACCACGTCTTGAAAAAAATTAAAAACTTTTTCTTTCATGCTAGTAAGTAGACTCTATACTGAATTGATTGGATAATACAGATTGTGTTTAATGTCTATTTAAAGTTAATAGTATCGATGCGTTGCCATATGGCAACGCCAGGAAATAAAGGGTTAATATGGGCCTGTTTTTGACAATAGAGTTCTAAAAATTTTGCGACAATATGCATTTTGATGCAGAGGACCATTTTTAATCAAAAAGTTGATTTTCAATATGTTGGTTATTATGCCTCTTTGCATTTCAGGTGACTATTAGATATAATTCATCATAAACTATTTCTTTGTTTCAAATTTCAGATAAAATTTTGCCATATCTCCCTTATTAGGTCGTTTTCAAAAAATTATGATGAAATTTGTGATAAAATTAACATAAATTGTTTTAAGAAATGAATGGCTCTAGAAAATCTGTAGTTTTCAATCCCTAAGTCCTGTTATTTGGCGTTATTCCGAACTCCATTTAATGAATCAAAAATAAACTTAATAAAATTTTGATATACAAAAATTTTAATATTTTAAAACAGTAAATAAATGTATAATCAGAATACTATGATCAGCGATGAAATTCAACATAATTAGCTTTTATATACCAATACATCCATCCTCCAAATGTTATGAGTATCTGATCTATCGATCAGTTTTCTAGTAAAAAAATCGTCTGTAAGTTTTCTGCAAAAATGTCTTGAGTAGTTTTCTATACAGAACTCCGCATTTTCTTAAATCTAGATCATATATTTTAATAGGAAAATATCGATAAATATTTTACTGAAAATCTATCCATAATGTTTCTATGCTAAAACAATATGTCTATATATTTTCCACCTTTAAGAATCTCCCCTCTGAGACTCTTTTAGACATTTTTTGTTCATCAATGAATTGCTTAAATGCATTGGAATTAAAGAAATATTCAACATAAAAGTTTCTCTATGGAAAATAAATAATTTTTAAAATATACTCATGGTGTATCATACTGTTTTTACTACCTGTTTTTTATTTTTTTAGTTTATATCTGCATTTAATACGCATAAAATATTTTTAACATTTATGCAAAAAGTTTAGGATTATATTCATAAACAAGAAAAATAATATTATATATAATATCATATATAAATGTCATAATGATTTAAAAATCGTCTTCTGTTCATGTTTTCTGACTGAAGCCTAATACTTATCACAATAAAAAACCAAACAAAACATGCAAATTTATACTTAAAATTACAAATATTTAAAACCGATAAACCAAGCCACAAATAAAGGGATAATCAGATTAACCGAAAATCAATATATTCAAAAAATCGTTTCACGAAAAAACAAAATATGTATTAAAAACCGATTTTTCGGTTAACCTTTATAAGCACATTCTTTTAAATTTACTCAATAAAGTCTTTATAATGAGCAAAACAATCAGCAAACGTTTGCGAAATTTATATGAATTTTAGAAAGTATAATCTTTATTCCATAAATAACAAGTAAGAAAGTATAGTCAGGCGTAGCCGACCATATGATACCCTACACCAGTTATGAATATTAAATGTGATTTATTTTTCATAATAAAGCATTTTTCTTCAATATTCCCTTGTTCCGATACATTTAAGCAATTTATGGATGAAAAACTATTTTTCTGAAAGAGGCTTTATATGGGGGCTAGGGGCAAATATGGACCAAGCCCGATAAAATTTTGTGAATATATTTATATTTACATAATATTTTATTGTGCTGAATTTCATCGCGATATTTGTGCTTATAAGTTAATTTTGGACATGCGCCATATTTTATCGATATACATATCTGTATATTTAACATAATTATGAGCTCAGAAGCCCTTTTCGGGGGGTTCTGTTCTATGGGGGCTAGGTGAAATAATGGACCGATTTTAACCATTTTCAATAGGCTTCGTCCTTGGGTCAAATAAAACGTGCGTGCCAAATTTCATCCAATTATCTAAAAAAAAAAAAAAAAGAAAACGATTCTAAGCCGATTGATATACTTTAAGGTGGGTCTAGGACGAATATTTTTGTATGTTACAAACATCAGCACAAATCCAATATACCCTCCCCACTAAAGTGGTGTAGGGTATAAAAACACAGAAAAATTGTTAAGTTAATTTTTTTTTACAACTTATTCAATTGAAACCATTCATACCAATCGTTAAGTATTCGTTGACATTTACAGAAGACAAGCAATACAAGCATCATTTTTCGTTACACTCATTTGTTTTGAATAGTGCCGAGTATTGCATTATTAAATTAGTGCATATCGTCATTTCAAGGCGATTGTATTCATAATCGAAAAAATTAGCATTCAAACACAGTCACCTTAAGTGAGGATTAATAAAATTCTCCAGTAGGTCGGGGACTTAAAATATTTTCTGGTCATAAAAAATTTTATTTTTCTTGTAACTCACTCAGCAAAAAGGCGCAGCTTTATATGTAAGTTAAAAGTCACAGATCCATTTTCACTTGTCACTTAAAATAACATGATTTTATTATACCATTAAATTAAAACATCGAACTGAAAAAAGTTAGAGTCTACATATCACCGTGTGACAGCAATTATTGGACATGAATGAGACAATATACACATTAGAGGTCATTTAAAGTGAAACTGAATATTAAAATATATTTAAATATTTTTACTGAATGATTTTCGTCAATATGGGTATCGAATGAGCTAGGGTTGAGAAACTTTAACCACCTACAAACGAAATTCAGATTCAAATTTTCAAAACACCGATACACGGGATCTTTTATTAAAAAGCGGGATTGAAATATTAAAAAGCTGAATTTCTGTTCACGTTATTTATAAGACACGTTAAATTTATAACAATATTAATCATGTATAACATTTTTGTCATTCCATTTCTAATTTTCATAACTTTCATGTTTTCAGAATGGTCCAAGAAGAAATGAAAGCTCTGTCTCATATGGCCGATCAAATTAATGGTTTAAGGACAAATAATAATCTTTCCCCTTCGGGAAAAAGTCATGACTCGAATGATAACTTAAATAATGAATCTGTTGATTTAGATAATTTATTTGCCTTTTTAAGCGACGTCACATCGAACAATTCTGCTAATCCGATTTTGGACGAATTAAGTGATAAAATGGATAATCTTGTTCAAGATTTTGACGATGAGGTAAATATATTTAATTTTTTTAATTTAGATAACACGATTTCCACCGAAGTATTTCCTTGAAAAATTTATGGGTTGTTGTACTTAATTTTAATATACATAGACACTGTAAAGCTCTATTCAATCGTATTTTTATTTCTCTAGTAGCCAAATAGCTAAATGAAAATTGGCACATAGCTTTTCTTTATATTAATAAGATATTAAAAGTCACCATAAACATCGTGTGCGAAAAGCGAGGTTTGGCGGTCGTAAGTCACAAATTTTTTTTACGAATATCTCACTTATTATTCGTCGTATGCGTTTTGATGCTGTTATAATTTCTATAAAGACTTAAATTACCTTTTAGTGGAAGACTATTTTCGCATTATTTGTTGTGATGCTTTCAAACCTTAATATTTTTAAAGCCCCCTTTACACGAGCACACAAGTAATATAATCTGCCAAAATTTTGTGTAGAAGAGTATGGATGGGATCGTCTAAACGCAATATGTAATAAAACCATCACACATTGAGTGAAAATATGGATGCAAAATTTGGCAGTCGTATGACTGTTCATTTTTTGAAATTATTAAAAAAAACAAGCAAGTCCTGTTTTAGAATGTGACTTTCCAGGCATGCCTTTTTCTCAATTTTCTTTTAAATGCCCTCCGTAAAATCTTATCGCTTGTATTTATAAAAAAATCTTATTTTGCTTTTAATGCACTCAATAGTTAAAGCACACTTTAGCCTTAAAAACCATTAATAAAATTGTGATATTCATAAACAAATAATAAACGTATATTAACTATTGTGCTGATTTATGTTTAAGTTGGCAGCACTGTACAATATGGCTGTCATTTTATGTGTTAGTGTTGCGTACAATTAGGATAAAATATTCGTTGATTCGGTTTTCTTAATTTCATATTTTTGTTTATAATAGATTTTTGACAATAAAAACAAACTTTTAAGAAAAATAAATATATATATGGCTTTAATAAATGTCTATTTAGTTCAGATGTATAAATATAACATATAATTTCTAATTATTATTAAAAGTATCCGAATAACGGATATTTTGCGACAAAATATACATCACTATGACACATTTTCTTATTTTTACTTATTTTCCTTGTAATTTTTGATAAATTTTTGCAAATATTGATAAATTTCTTTGATATTTGACTAATTTTAATGCCGGCGAATATATTTTGCATTAGTATAACACTAATCAATATAATTTACATGGTTAATTACTTTATGGCATTATATTTAACCAACAAACTTTGAAAAAGCCGAATCAAATGATTTTGTCCATCATTTGGTTGACAGACGGGCATTTCCAAATTTCCTAAAAATAGTGCTGGACAATTGGAATATTGTCAAATATTCATGCATTAATCCAATAATGCCTAGATTTGAGTTTTTTCCTCAAAATATAATCGCTTAAAAATTTTCTGGGATTTTATTTACAAATTTGTAAACGTTAAAATTAGAATTTTTAGATTTTATTTTAAAAGAAACCATAATTAGTTTTCGCAATCAACCTAAAATTACCGGAAAAATCTTTATCTGAGAAAAAAATTGTTAAAAATCAACTTATTGTTGGCTTAAAGAACTACAACTAAGTTATGATTTCCCTCTTCTATCATCAATGACAACATGTCTCAACACTTGAACAGCTGATGTCGTAATAAATATTAGGTCTGTTCGCGTACTCGATAATTTGTAACAATTTGCAACAATTGTTATTGGTTTCCGTTCGCGTACTTTTGAAAACTTGCAACGTGAGAGCAAGAGAGCGATAAAAATGACAGTTCGTTGATAGAGAATTTTTTGATTTTACTGGATATTTTTTCCCCAGTAAAAAATATCCAACATATATTCACAACATATGTTTGATTTTTGAATATGTAAGCAAACCAAAGAAATCGAAAATTTGGTAAATTTTACATTTTTTGAAAGAAATATATAAATTAATAACACACGAATATTAAAAAATTATTTGTAATTAGATTTATTTTAATTTTATTTATCATAAATTAGTTTTTAAAAGAGTTTTTTTGTTGTGAAAAATCATAACAAATATTGTCAATCTAGCGATTTTAAAACAATTTTGTTTGTCTTTCTCTTAGCGATTTTGTGTAAATTTTTATTTTAATAATATGTTAGTATCATGAAGTTTTAAAACAATAATATATTTTTAATGATACTACATGTTTTGTTAACTTTAAATATCCATTTATTTATAGGAAAAAAAATCAAAGTTTCAATTATTTGTTTTTTAGTGTTATGTTACCGATTGAGATTTCAGCAAAAACTTTGTTTATAAACAAAAACTTGCAAATTTTTTTTTTAAATTGGCTTTCGCGTACTTTTTTTGATATTTTTTTGATTGAGAATAAATTAAAAATTACTCTCTATCATTAAGTTACTGGATATTTCTTACAGGAAAGTACGCGAAAAGACTTATTATTTCGATCGATAGTCAATTTCTTTACGAACATCTTACGTACTTATGATTTTTTAAATTTAAAACTTCAAAAATGGCGCTTTTCACATCTTTTGCTCTTAAAAACTAAGTTAACGAAGTGATCGGGGAAAACTAAAAATATATTCTTACTCTATGGGCTATAACAAAACGGAATTGGTATATGAGAACCCCTGAATTTTTTGGTGTATCACTGTGAAATTATTTACACAAACCAAAATTAACATTTTCTCAGTTTTTTTTTATGTTCAGCTTTTTTTGTTTTGTCGAGCTTTTTAAAACCCAATGTCCAGCTTTTTGCGAATTGGAATCTGGCAACCCTACTTTTAAGGCATGCATGCTAATGAGTGTGAGAGTTGCCATATTTATAATTCTTAATGTATTGATTTAAATATTTAATAAACGAATTAATATCTTTAGTTTTTAAATATTTGCTAAATTAAATATTGTGTTAATTTTTTTAAGTAGTTATTTTATTATCTTATAAAAAACATTACTAAAATACTTTAAACTGCAAATTTGTTTACCATTAGCTATAAGTTTTAGATCTTTTTGTAGTAATTTATTTTTTATTAAAGAAATAATTTTATTTTAATAAGCTAACATTTGAAAAAATCCAATTGGATGTGGCAATACTTCAATTATTGGATGTGGCAATACTTCGATTATATACTATATAATTGCTTACATTGAATTATTTCCTAAAGTGGATAGTGTAACAATTGAACAGAACATTGAGGGCAAGAATTACATACAAACAAAGCAACGATCAGTAAAACACAATAAGTATTCACTGTTTTATCGTTTCTGTAACATGATATCATTATACCCTCCACCACCATCAGTGGTGATAGAGGGTATATATAACTTTGTCATTCCGTGTGTAACACCAAGAAATATTCATCTGAGACCCAACAAAGTATATATATTCTGGGTCCTTATGAAATTCTGAGTCGATTTAGCTATGTCTGTCTGTCCGTCCGTCCGTCCGTCTGTCTGTCTGTGTAAAACACGCTCACGTTAAAACGAAGCAATATAATTTAACCAAATTCACCCAAAATATTCATTATTATCCGGTACAGTTTGGTATTGAAAATGAGCAAAATCGGTTCACATCGGGAAAAGTTATGAATCAAAATTTAAAACAACCTCGAAAAAAATAAGCATTTTTTACACATTCTGATGTAATTTTCTCGAAAACTATGCAAGATAATTTCATGAAAGTCATCATACATTCGTTTCTACACAAGATATTTATTTCTGCTGAAAATTGCCAACATCGGTCCATAATTTCATATACCTCCCATACAAAAGTGCATATTCCCGGAAAATGAGTTTTTTGTTAATAACTTCCGTCAGAATATTGATATCTTCACAAAATTTTACGAATTAAAATCTTATGTTAATAGAATTCATCGACAGAAAAAATTTTCTGGATCGGTCCATAATTGGACATAGCTCCCATACAAAGTCCCCTCCCGAAAATCACTTAAACGCGCATAACTCATTACTAAATTAAGATATCCATATAAAATTTGGAATAAGTATTGCTCATATGCACAGAAATATTACTGTGAAAGTTTTTTCCGATCGGTCCATAATTGGTCATAGCTCCCATACAAGCACCCTTCCCGAAAATCACTTAAACGTGCATAACTCATTACTAAATTAAGATATCCATATAAAATTTGGAATAAGTATTACTCATATGTACAGAAATATTATTATGAAAGTTTTTTTCCGATCGGTCCATAATTGGTCATAGCTCCCATATAAGGTCCCCTCTCGAAAATAACTTAAACGCACATAACTCATTACTAAATCAAGATATCCATATAAAATTTGGAATAAGTATTGCTCATATGCACAGAAATATTACTATGAAATTTTTTTCCGATCGGTCGATAATTGGTCTTAGCTCCCATACAAGGACCCTCCCCGAAAATCACTTAAACGTGCATAACTCATTACTAAAATAAGATATCCATATAAAATTTGGAATAAGTATTGCTCATATGCACAGAAATATTACTGTGAAACTTTTTGCCGATCGGTTCATAATTGGTCATAGCTCCCATACAAGGTCCCCTCCCGAAAATCACTTAAACGCACATAACTCATTACTAAATCAAGATATCCATATAAAATTTGGAAAAAGTATTGCTCGTATGCACAAAAATATTACTGTGAAAGTTTTTTCCGATCGGTCCATAATTGGTCATAGCTCCCATACGAGGTACCACCCCGAAAATCACTTAAACACACATAACTCATTACTAAATTAAAATATCCATATAAAGTTTGGTACAAGTATTGCTCATATGCACAGAAATATTACTGTGAATTTTTTTCCGATCGGTCCATAATTGGTCATAGCTCCCATACAAGGTCCCTTCCCGAAAACCACTTAAACACACATAACTCATTACTAAATTAAAATATCCATATAAAATTTGGTACATGTTTTGCTCTCACATATATAAATATTACTATGAAATTTTTTTCCGATCGGTCCATAATTGGTCATAGCTCCGTAC